GGTAAAAACATTCTTTTTCTATTTCTAGTTGGCATAGGTTTATGGAATTTGATCCATCTTGTAAAATTAGAGGGCTCAGGATAAATGGTGCGCGAGGCTGGCGAGTTTACGAATGTGAAACGATCATGGAAACTTTATGTAGCTCAAACACGCTCTTTGCATGTGGCACAATTTAATGTCTGGACATGTCTATATCAATAGTGTCTTGGGTGACAACCCAGATACAATCCCTAGAAGCCCTATTTTGCAGACGTTGGATCCTGGTTCATAAGTGGTTTCGTGTAGCAACATGACCAGGATAAGTATCCACATAAGTCAATAACAGGTAATACCAGTGGCCCATTAAAGTAAGAGTTTAGCTCGTATCCATTAGAAATAAAGATTCTAGTGTCGCTTATAAAACACCAAGCCTTAGAATTTCTTAGAATGCCATACTTTATCAATTATGATATGCTCCCATGTGAGGGAGTGTCAAAGAAGCACCGAGAATATTTTAAAGTGTTGCTACATTGTTCAAACATATTGACTGTTAACCCTGCAAATTTAGCTTTTTCGGTTCCAAGTAACCTTTGAGCTGTTCCTAGTAACATATTCGTTAACGATCAGTGTCTAGAACACTAGAACAGCACTATCACACATTTAAATATAATATGTAGTATCTATATATATATATATAGTACATGCTCAACATATTGTCCGTTAACCTGCAAATTCAGCTTTTCGGTTCCAAGTAACCTTTGAGCCGTTCCTAGTAACATATTTGATTAACCGATCAGTGTTCTTAGAACACTAGAACAGCCACTATCACACCATTTATAATATAATATGTTAGTATCTTTTATACATATTATATATATATATATAATATGTAGTATCTATACATATATATATATATATATAGGCCCTGTAGTACACGCAAGTGCTATAGTGTGCGTAGTAAAAATCACTATTCCATTTAATGGTTTCACCTAGTCATCACATTTCTACACTCAGAAATTCTAAAAAAGACAAGGTCAGTCTTCACAATTTAAAATTCACAATTTAAAATTAAAGTACAATTCACAATTTAAACAAATATATTATCACATCAATTTTTTTCACATCAGCCATCTTCAACTTCGGAAATTTAATGTAACATTTTCTTACAACATTATATGTGTAAACCATGCAGTGTAGCGTTTCCCCGCAGGTTGTGTGCAGTAAAATCCCGCAAAGGCCGGGGAAAAGCTCTTAATGAAAGGCCGAGGTATTTAACCTTTGAAATGAATATAGCATACAAACAAAATTCCTCCACTGTAAAACAACTTGAATATACATTATCACAATTATTCACTCCTGATTATATGTTACCTGAAATAATAGACAATAGAATAATATAACAATACTGTCACAAACTGATTAGGGCTATAACAATAGATGCCAATTGACCCATTCATTTACAATGATTAAGAGGCAGCCTAGCCAATCAGCATTGTGATGGAATGTTATTAAAAAAAACAACGAATAGCAATAAAGTACCGCACAGAATACAATTTTGTGTGCAGGCATGAAATACGTGGATAAACTGGTCTAGCAAGGCCAACTTAGCAGCAATTCAAAGGGGGGAGGTAATCTCCCTCCCTGAACAGGGAATTCCATTAACTTCCAGCAGATGTGTTCAACATAATTATGTGGTTTTTTACCGAAGTTCTTTATTCATTATTTTATAGAACACTAACCATCATGTACTCATTGGGTATGTTCGGATTGGACGCATGTCTCACAACTTTTTCACAACTATGGAGGTATATACCCACAATGATACACACAAAGATGTACATAAAATAAATCGTAAATCGGCAAATTTCACAATGAGCAGGCCCACAAGGCATGATCTCTCACCATACTTGTTTCTAACTCTTTGTTATTATACATTCCTACTTCCGCTATCATAACCAGCCAGCGAGAACAGATAGCAAGATACTCTCCTTCGAAGCACCCAAATGTACTATTGCCGTCTTGACTCTGGGAATGTGCAGTGGTTTCCCCACCTGCAAAGATTCCATAGATTTTTAGATGAATTTGAATAAATTGGTTAACTACCAGGTTCAGTTCTAAACTTTTTTGATTAAACAAACTTCTAACATTAGAAAATAAAATAAAATCAACGCATCACCAAAAACGGAGATAAGAAAAAAAAAGGGAAAACATGCATGGAAGAAAATCATGCAGAGTAACAAACCCACCTTTAATGTCAGATATTTCTCTGTCTCATACACATACAAGGCAAATCCCTGACCACCAGATTCCAGCATACTGACACTGACAACGTCTTTAGTTACGGTGAAGGTAAAGCTTCCTTGCTTATAGTCCAAGTGTGTTAGCACCAGCCTATGAAAAAGTTCACCAATGTGTCACACCAACAATTTGTCATTCCCCAATCTATTGGTCACACATTTTGTTTAAAATATCATTAGAGTAATATAAATAACATTTCTATCATTAGACGCAACCGTGCATTCACATGAATAATTGTACTTAGGTTGCAGCACCTACAGATAAATGAAAACCCCAAAATTACAGTTACAATTTAGTTTTTATATACTAACACATCTGCTAAATGATTTAGTGTTGTTACTTAGTGGTTCCAGGTGGCAGTACTGGTTCAAAGTCGAGCTTGTCACTCCTGATCCTGAAGCCTCCATAGCCAAAGATGACAGTCTGTAGAAATCCTCCCATGCCAGTAATGAAGTTTACAGCACCGCCTCCACCGGGGGTTTCTGACCATACCTGCAAAAATATATTATATATTTATATTCATGTAAGAGGGAGAACGAGAGAGGGGCAGAGACAGGAAAAGAGACAGGGAGAGAAAGGAGCAAGACAAAGAGCAAGAAGGAGAGCTAGAGAAAGAGAGCAAGGAAGGGAAGAAGGGACGGAGAGAGGGAGAGAGAGACAGACAGAAAGCCAGAGAGAAAGAAGAGAGCAAGAAAGAGAAAGAAAGAGAGAGAGAGAGAGAGAGAGAGAGAGAGAGAGAGAGACAGACAGACAGACAGAGGGAGGGAGAGAGACACAGACTGAAAGCCAGAGAGAAAAAAGAGAGCAAGAAAGAGAAAGAGAGAGGGAGAAAGAGAGAGGAGAGAGAGATAGAGAGAGAGCGAGAGAAAGAGAGAGAGGGAGAGAGAGAGAGAGAGAGAGAGAGAGAGAGAGAGAGAAAGTGAGACGCACACACCTTGAACGGCTCTACGGTGTATTGCTGATTCATGACGAGTAACTCTGCAGCCTTCTTGTAATCTCTCAGCTCCAGCCAGGCAATGGCAAACATGCCCCACGTCATTGCTGGCCCTGTCACACTTGTCACCTGCGTTCGTGAACCAATTGGTTTTAATGTGAATTAGAGCAGAGAATCCTGGCACAAAATTATTTATTGATATTGCTGATAATATAATATTAATGTATCCATGTATATCAAAAAAGAGATCACTTGTTTATAAAATTGTGGCAAGTAACAGCTGTCCTAAAATGAGTAAACAACCGCCGTAATGTTGGCAGGTAATCAACCATCAGAAATGTTGGCAGGTAAGCAAACATCAGAAATGTTGGCAGATTAGCAACCATCAGAAATGTTGGCAGGTAAGCAACCATCAGAAATATTGGCGGGTAAGCAACCATCAGAAATGTTGGCAGGTGAGTTACCATCAGAAATGTTGGCAGGTAAGCAACCACCATAATGTTGGTAGGTAAGCTACCATCAGAAATGTTGGCAGGTAAGCAACCATCAGAAATGTTGGCAGGTAGACAACCACCGTAATGTTGACAGGTAAGCTATCATCAGAAATGTTGGCAGGTGAGTTACCATCAGTAATGTTGGCAGGTAAGCAACCACTGCAATGTTGGTAGGTAAGCTATCATCAGTAATGTTGGCAGGTAAGCTACCATCAGAAATGTTGGCAGGTAAGCAACCACCGCAATGTTGGTAGGTAAGCAACCACCGCAATGTTGGTAGGTAAGCTATCATCAGTAATGTTGGTAAGTAAGCTATCATCAGTAATGTTGGCAGGTAAGCTACCATCAGTAATGTTGGTAGGTAATTGCTATCATCAGTAATGTTGGTAGGTAAGCTATCATCAGTAATGTTGGCAGGTAGATTGGCTCCATCTAGTCATCCTGGGCAGTAGTCATATGCATGAGATAGAGGTTGTTTACATGTGTAATGTGTAAACTTACTACTTACATCTTCGTATATGACGAGGTCATTGCGTCTCACCACTTCATCAGACTCTTGCATCAGTGGAAATCCTAGTAGCACAACGTCTGCCTGCTTCACCATAAATTCTGAAATGAAAGCAGAGCTCACTTTTTTTCATTTTGTTGTTCATCGGATCAGAACATACCTAGTTTGTAAATTAACTTGTGACTTTACGAAGTGAACCATTCAACACCACCAGATGTCTCCATCTGCGCACGTACCTGGTATTGTGCTATTGATCTTGCTCTTATAGTCTCTCTCGTCAGGGTCGTAGCCGTCGTGCTGTGGGTGGTAGTTCCTCTTTGCATCAAAGGGCACGTACATGTGGTCAGCAATGTCTATCCACTTCTGCTTCAGGCGCGGCGAGTCTGGGAAGGCATCCGAGGGAAGTCGCAGGCTGATCTGTGCGATGGTGTTCGTGTAGCAGGAGTTGTTGACCGGGTAATGCCATTCATCCGGCCCCATCACGTCTGCCAAGAGCAAGAACCTCCGCCCTTCAATATCCACGTGCTAATATCAATCTAGTCATATAGTACAACATATATTAACATACAGTGAAACCCGAGTTGACACCTCTACAGAATGGACAGCTATATCTACAAAGGACGTTTCTCCTGAGTGGCATATTCAGAGTGAAATCACCTCTATAGAACAAACTCGTCTCGATAAAGTCCTGACACTTTTGATGTTTCCCAGGAGTAATCCTTATATATAGGTTTAATTGTATTCACAATTCATATTGTATTCATCAGATATCTCTCAACCTGGTATTATTGTATTAAATTAATTCAGATTGTTCCAGTTGTATTTTACTAAATCCATGGACCTACACATAAGCTTTTAAATTATACAATATTATATCATAGATTTCATCTCATTTTTGGAAAGCAGTGGTTTTCTGTTTAATATTGGAATTCATGTGCGTACCATGTATCTCGTATCTCTCCTTAGTTTTGTTGTAAAGTGCACGACTCTCCCAGAAATTTGCGATTGCCATGATGAGATCCTCTGCAGAATTGATGAACGTTTTGTCTGCGTTCATGTGCATGTACTGCCAGAAGGCAAACGCTATGTCACCAGTCACATGCTGTTCTAGGGCAGATCCGGGATACCAGGGGCATACATCCTCACCTAGAAGCACAGTAAATGTCATGGGACAGCAACCGTGACAACGTGTACACGTAATCTCACCTGGAAATTAATAGTTATGAATCTTTGTACTCATTGATTTATTGGCTCCAATTGGCATTTTTCATAATGGAAGGTTGCTACTATATATCTGTGAATGCGGCATCATAACCAATATTCAATACAGTCCGACCTCCTTTATCCGGCCACGTCGGGACCGGCACCCATCCGGATATGGGATTTGGCCGAATATAAGAGTTATGCTCAAACACAGCATTTCC